TACAGCCAACGCACTGCTTACTACCAACTGCAGCCACTTGTCTTCACAGGAAACAAGTTGGGAATTCTGGACTGCTCAAGGTGAACTGATTTCCACAGCACAATAGACTTTCCACGTCACCTCTGTGGACATAAAAGTCATTAGCCAGCAGAAAATATACAAGGAGAACATAGGATGACAACCTTTCACTGGGGAACTGTGAAAGGTAATTGGATGCACAATCTAGATGGTGTTGATATTGTTACTTCACTCACCAGAGGTCATCATCATTGACCTCACCTCCTAACTGAGGTTCAAAACAGGAGTCTTTCACGGACGCCACACCTCAGCCAACAGATGGCATTGTCTTTGTATCACTTAATGCCTTGGAGGTGGAGTGCAGGTCCATAGATGGCATTGAAATAACCACTCCTCACTTCAGCAACGGTGTTGATATTGTAACAGTGGCCTACTGGGCACCAGAGCTAGAACCTGGCATCCCCTCACAGAAGCACAGAGAGCAGGGGATTGTTATGATCACTCTCACCAAGAATGCATTCTGAAAGTAAACAAAGCAATCATACAACTGCAAGGGTTCACAGAATTAAAATAGCCAAACAACTCTGCAAATGATTCATTCAGAAACTAGCTCGAACTCCGCCTAGTTACGATTGGTCACCAACAAGTGGCAGCCCCACCGAGAGTTCTCGGCCTCCATGCCATCTTTTCCTCAATCCTGTTGCTGATATATGTGCATAGAGACCTCCCCAAACTACTGGCTGTAGCTGTCTTTTGGAGACTGTCCTCTGAGGGACATTTACTTTCGTGTCATTTCTGACTTTACCAAGTACTTCACAAGCATGTGTTTCAAGCCTCACTTGTTGTGTGGACTTTGTCTATTGTTCGCTGCATATAACACATATAGCTGCATGTGTTTACAGCAGCCCTTCTCTAAGCACTCGTTTAATAGTGACCCCTGCTCTAACAGAGGATAGGGTCTTTTTTGGCGAGTTCAGGAGTTAGCCTCTGAGAGGCCAAGTTACTGTGCAGATAGCCTCGCCCTGGGTAGGGCAAGAATCTCTGATTCCTGTGTGGTTCCTCTGACTCCTCTGATTTCCTGTGGTTGGGGACATTCAAGTTTTGTTTTGCTCTGTTCTGTTGTAATTACCCAAGTGATGAGGATGAGAGCCATGTTCGTGGTCTACTGTCTTCCCAGTTCTCGTCATATGAGGTTTTGAAACCTCTAACAATTTCGGTCTCCACCACCCTCTTGCTTTACTTGTTCCAGCCTTCTACCACTCTGTATGCAAATAAGAACTTCTTAATATTTTTTCCATACCTTTGTTTCCTTAGCTCCTTAGCTTGAATCAATGATCTCTTGTTCTTGAAACTGCAAGTTTCAAGAATTCCTCTTTATGAAATTTTTTGATTCCCATTATTATTTCGTATGTACAGTAATATTCATATTGCCTCTTTCTTCCATTTTTCTACCTTTGGCATATTTAATGCCTCTATCCTCTTTTTGTTGCTTTTGTTTTTAACTTCTGGAAGCCATTTCATTGCATGCATTTGCACTTTTTCCAGTTTATTGATGTATCCCCTACAATGCAAGTAGGAGAAATACATAATACAGTAATTTACATTTGAAAAATACTAGAAGGAATGGTTCTAATTCTGGACACAGAAATAACCAGACTGTCATCCTAAGGTTTTCCAACGTCAAGAAAATAGTTAAATTAAAGTGTCTTCTAACCTATCAGAGGACCCAAGACAGAAAACGGGACAGTATGTCATTTTTGCGAGCCATTTCCATTTTCTAGTTTGACAATTTGTGGCCTTAAATAATGCATACGATTGAAATGCGATGTTCTTTGTAAGAGTGCAGGTTGTAACACCACAAGACCAGAAGACATGGCTGGATGTGCAAAATATCCCATTGAAAAGCAGAGGTACAATAGGAGAAAGAACTCGATCAATATCAAAGACCCCTAGTCTTTTCAATGATCACATACGGTGCATAACTGGCCAACTTCTCACAGAGGTTGAAAAGAGAACTTGATAAGCACCTTCAAAGGACACCTGATCAACCAGGCTGTGAGTCTTATGTAAGGCTGCAAGCAGCTGCATCAAGCAGCCTGGTTGACCAGACCTCCAAGCATGAGGCCTGGTCAGAGAGTGGGCTGCAGGAACATTAGTTCTTGGAATCATTAATAGGTATTCAACAGGTAATGCTTCTTTAGATATTGGTACCACACAACTGCTGCAAATTTCAATTGTGCTCTCACAAAACTCATGAGCCATTTTTTTAATATTTCACTATCCATGTATGTAAAAGTAATTATGAAGTTGGAAAGCACAGAATATGCTCCTCACACAATGTTCTTTATGTAGTTCCTGGACAGTGTACTGTCCAGGATCACCCCTACATCTTTCTTTATCAGAACTGTTTAACCCATGTACTGCACATAGTTCCTTAAGGCACTCAGCGGGTGGTGTACCAGATGCCTTTTGGCGCTTGTTAATATAGCATAAGATTCAAAACTCGCACACATTAGCCTGGGTAGCAAATAGAGGCCTGAGGCTTCCGGTGAGTGTCCGCTATCTTCAAAAAATTCCCAGTATAATACATGGGCCCACCGCAGGCTCAGTTTACAATAATCTACCATGGCTGATGCATGTACCACCAGCTCCTGGTCACCGATGGGTCATATGGTTGAAAAACCAATCTCTGAAGATGAAGTATTTAACATTTTGAGAGGACTAAAAATGATGTTGACGACCCAAAAATCAATAAAGAACTAACATAGCAATTAGATATCAGTAGTACAGACATTGATAATGATGATACAGTGAGTGTGTACAGTATGTGGGCTTTGCCAGCCCCACCTCTGTGTCCCAGGTCAACACCACTGCCACACTGTTCATTATTATCACCACCTGTGCCATCTTCTATTCCTGAATGCCGTGATGATATAAGAGATGACTTTTTTGTTCTGGGTTCACTGACATTGTGTCTGATACTAATATCATAGATGAACCTAGTGTTAGCAGCTTTTGTGGTGGTGTTATTAAGAGGAGGTTTGCATGTCAGAGGCTCACCCTGCCAGACACTGGTTTGCATCCAACCATGAGGATGATGAGGACAGTGTGGCCTACACTTCAACTATTTGTGGTTAGCCTGTACAATGTAGAAGAGCATCATCTCCTGGCCAATGGAGTTTTATACAAAAACGGAGCCGTTGTGATGGCGCCCATGCAGCTAGTAGTGATGGTGTTGGTGCCAGTACTAGCAGCATGAGAGTATTCGTGTGGGATGATTGTGAAAGCTCTTTACCAGAAATATGAACATTTGATGATACAGATGTTGCACACGTTTTCCCATATACTAGTGACAATATGGGTGAAAGTGAATATTTTATGGCTTATTTTGATGAGCCATACATGAAACATCTAGTTGACGAAACTGCTACACAATGCAACTCATTACAGATGGCTTATTACCTGGTTCACATGTGACATGTTGGTAAGAGACAACTGTTGTTGAGATGTATGTTTTTATTGTGCTGTGTATAATGATCAAACATGCTTTGAAACGTGTCATCCAGGATTATTGGAACAAAGACAGCATTGTTCTAACCCTAGTTTTTGGGAAGTACTTGTCACGTGACAGGTTCCTGCTACTTCTAAGTGTCTACACTTTAAAAACAATGATAATATGGTTTGAAATGATATACTGTGGAAAGTGAGGAAAGTGTTCAGTGAAGTGAGATGATAGTAGTACAGAGATTTCTTTGTACCAGGACAGAATTCAGTGATTGCATGAATCTCAAGTTCTTTTCTAGGTATATCTTGCTTTCAAGCAGAATATCCAATTGAAATAGCACAGATTTGGACCGAGTTACATCTAGTGATTTATATACTGTACAAGGACAATCACCACATTTAGAATTTATATTTTGAGTATCAGCACTTACACCATATCATTTGTGTTTAGAGCTCTGTGCAGAAGATGTGTCTTTGTGTACAGGCTGATCCAACTCTGTTCTCTGTATACTTTCTGTATGTTTTCTTGATGAGAATGATATAGTAGTAATAATTACCTGCTATAAAAATAAATACCTCTGGGGGGGGGGGGCAGGTTCTGGCTCTGGTCCCCAGTAGGCCATACATGACTTCCATGGCTGATATGACTCAGTGGGGAAGGAAGCTATCTCAGCAAGATAGATTCAGGGAACCATGGAAGCCAAACAGGAAGAGGCTTTTCATTACATTCAACACTAGTTCTTTTTTACATTATTATTGTAAATATCCTGAATCAATTTCAGTACATTTGATGTAGATTGGTACAACATAAGTGATACTTTGGGAAATAAATGTTTAGTTAAATTGTAATAAGTGTCACATTTAAATGCTTTTGCCAATAGAAAATTATAGGCTATATTTTGGGAGTTTCAGTAAGGCATATTGTTGCTTTTACAAAACTTATTAAGTGTTTAAAATTCTTAACTGAACACCAAAGAGTCATTTTAAAAAATATGGTAGGTTCAATGTACCTTCATCTTTACATTCTTAAAATACAAGTTTTATCTTAGTTTATTATGGTATTAATATGAGTATCATCAGTATTAATATGGCTTTTACACATACTAGCCTCTGATAAATGTTAGATTCACCAGTGACACAGATTTACAGTGTACTGTCCAAGTGCATCCTTCAGGCTCGCTATAGAAGCAATCAGTTCATTTGTTATCGTCACTTACATTTTGCTAACGATTTAAAATAAGTAGGATAATGTACCAAAAAATTATTTAAGAAAAGTAAGATATAGATTACTTACAAAATACATACGTGATATGGCTCTTTTTTTAATAAATTCAATAGCTTACTGTTTGCTTAAAGTTATTTCAATTAATATTCATTAATTAAATTAAAGTATGTATATATATTTTTAATATTTTCCTTTTTATATAAATTTCACAACTGAAATACCTGCAATAACATTTTATATTTCCCTACAACAGAAAATTTATACTGACTTTGAGCTACAAGGAATAATGGAAGAGAAATTAAATACAAAAACCTATCAAACGATAAGTCAGCGAATGACGACTGAAGAAGCTGCTTGCGCACTCATTGAGGGAAGCAGACGAGCTGACGATGAGTGAGTTGCTTTTTTGGATATTTCAAGTGCATGTAAATTTCTACAAGTCATCTGCTGTACCCTTACCTTTACTCTCAAAGAGTAAACTACATAAACTATGGAGACAAATTATTACTAAATTTGTATACAAATTAATCAGTATTATTTAGAATATACAAAAACTAATTTTTCTGAGCAGAGCCTCTCTGTTACTCCCTGAGCCAGAGTTCATCCAGGACACTGACAGACATGCCAGGCTCTGCTGCCTCCTGCCCCCATACAAGTCCACCCAAGATATTAACAGACATGCCAGGCTCTGCTGCCTCCTGCCCCCATACAAGTCCACCCAAGATATTAACAGACATGCCAGGCTCTGCTGCCTCCTCCCCCCATACAAGTCCACCCAAGATATTAACAGACATGCCAGGCTCTGCTGCCTCCTGCCCCCATACAAGTCCACCAAAGATATTAACAGACATGCCAGGCTCTGCTGCCTCCTCCCCCCATACAAGTCCACCCAAGATATTAACAGACATGCCAGGCTCTGCTGCCTCCTCCCCCCATACAAGTCCACCCAAGATATTAACAGACATGCCAGGCTCTGCTGCCTCCTCCCCCCATACAAGTCCACCCAAGATATTAACAGACATGCCAGGCTCTGCTGCCTCCTCCCCCCATACAAGTCCACCCAAGATATTAACAGACATGTCAGGCTCTGCTGCCTCCTCCCCCCATACAAGTCCACCCAAGATATTAACAGACATGCCAGGCTCTGCTGCCTCCTCCCCCCATACAAGTCCACCCAAGATATTAACAGACATGCCAAGCTCTGCTGCCTCCTCCCCCCATACAAGTCCACCCAAGATATTAACAGACATGCCAAGCTCTGCTACATCCTCCCCTACACTATGATTAGTATCTTTTTAAGTGGTCTAGTTCCACAATTTTGGGAATGGAGACAGTGAAGAAATGTTAATCCATCACCTATTAAAGCTGTTTGTTATGAGACAAAAGAGCTGATCAAGAAAACTTGACTTCCCTTGCAAGTAATCATTGGATCTGTGAAGAAACCCAGTTAATACCCTACTAACTACTAATAATTGCTACTAGCCTCTACCCCCAACTACCACCAGATGGGACCACTGTATTGTACAGAACAACAGAGTTTGGCAAGACAATCATCACTTTAGTACCTATGGCACCCTTGCTTGGCTGATGTGTGAAACATTCTTGCCTTTCAGAAGCTGTTATACTGCCAATTTTAGGGTGGGATGTGACTCCTTTCCTGCCTGCTCTCCACTTCTGTGACTTTTGGAACATTGCTTAAAATCTTTGCTTCTTTTCTGCATGATGCATTATTGGATTTCTTTGTAGCATATTTTCAAGGAGTTCACATTTACACTCCCTGTTGCATTTTTTGCCCGTTTTCTACCCTCCTTTTTCCTAAGGTGGAGGTTCAGCAGGTAATAGAGAGTGCAAATGTCATTCCAGCTGCTTGCCTAGGTTTTTAGAGTGAAGCTAGTCTTGTCCTCTAATCATGCTCAGCCTGTGAATTTTTGGTCTCCTGGATGTAGTAGGTGTTGATGCATCACTTGATTGCACCTGTGAGGCTCCATTTCTTTCTGTGATCACACTCAAAGGTCTCATCAGTTCATTTATGGTGGGCTTCAGTGACAGCACATGGGAAGTGAGCATCCAGAGGCTTTCTGGATGGCCTGCATTGGGGATGTTTAGTCTTAACTGGTCATTACTGAAGGGTATTCTTGGACATGGTTTCCTTGCCATCCTTGGGTGTGTCTGGGTTCTGGAGAGCCATCTACAAGAGCATGATTTATCTGAATTTACATGAGGGTCACTACCTCTAGTAGTGGATTCTCTACCTCTACCTCTATTCAGCTGAACAGGAAGCCAGCAGTTATTTTTATTTTGTTTTATTTTATTTTAGTTAATCAAAGGTTTTCACATTATTCCTGAGGATTTTCTGGAAGGGGCTGAATATTGACTCTCTAATTACCTAAGTGTAGTTACAGGATGAGAGCTACGCTCATGGTGTCCCGCCTTTCCAGCACGCTTTGTCATAACGCTTTGAAATTACTGACAGTTTTGGCCTCCACCGCCTTCTCACCTAAGTTGTTCCGTCTACCACTCTGTTTGTGAAAGTGAATTTTCTTATATTTCTTCGGCATCTTTGTTTAGTTAGCTTAAATCTATGACCACTTGTTCTTGAAGTTCCAGGTCTCAGGAAATCTTCCCTATCAATTTTATAAATTCCTGTTAGTATTTCGTACATAGTGATCACATCACCTCTTTTTCTTTTATCTTCTAGTTTTGGCATATTTGATGCCTATAACCTCTCCTCGTAGCTCTTGCCCTTCAGTTCTGGGAGCTACTTAGTAGCATGTCTTTGCACCTTTTCCCGCTTGTTGATGTGCTTCTTAAGATATGGGCCCCACACAACTGCAGCATATTCTAGCTTTGGCCTAACAAAAGTCACGAACAATTTCTTTAGTATTTCGCCATCCATGTATTTAAAAGCAATTCTGAAGTAAGAAAACCTAGCATAGGCTCCTCGCACAATGTTCTTTATATGGACTTCAGGTGATAGTTTTCTATCTAGAACCACCCCTAGATCTCTTTCTTTCTTTATCAGAATTCTTTAAAGATTTCTCACATAATTTATAGGTTGTGTGGGGTCTGTGTTCTCCTATTCCACATTCCATAACATGGCATTTATTCACATTAAATTCCATTTGCCAAGTGGTGCTCCATATACTTATTTTGCCCAGGTCTTCTTGAAGGGCATGACAATCATTTAAGTTTCTTATCCTTCCTATTATCTTAGCATCATCAGCAAACATGTTCATACAATTCTATATTTCATCTGGCAGATTATTTATGTTGACAATGAACATCACCGGTGCAAGAACTGAACTCTGTGGTACTCCACTTGTGACATTTCTCCAGTCCGATACATTGCCGCTGATTACTGCCCTTATTTTTCTATCCGTTATGATAGAAAAATTATATATGATATTATATTTTCAATCAGTGTGCAAGCCAGGTGTACTGTACAGCCTCAGTACTTGAAGTACTGGGGTTGCATGCACCTAGGGTCACCTTTTCTAGGTGCCCTGTAAGTACTATCCTTGCAGTTTGGGGTTACCTTCTACAAACTGTTCGGGGGCTACCTCTGCAGGGTTCTTTTGTTGTTTGGTGATTGCCCGCCCATGGGGTCAGCTGGGTTTTTTTCCTACCACTGTTGGCCTTAGGTAGGAAGTAGTATCGTCGCTGGTTGGGGCGCAAAGTACTGTGCAGCTGTCTTATAATATGCATAGTAGCCAGTTCTGTTCCTCCTGGAGACATTGTGCTTTTGCAGGGTATTTCTTTTCTTTTGTTTTGTTTTGCCTGGTGGGGGTCTGCCTGGTGTGGCTGTAGGACCTCTTGTATTATCTGGGTGGCCCTCAGCTAGGTCCACCTGAATGCAAATGTTACAGGGGTTCAGCTTTTGTTTTGTTTGTTTGTTTGGTAGTTCTGGGATAACCGGTTAGCAGTGCCTTGCTGGGGCTTCCCTTAGCAGCCAGCCTAAGGGACCTGGAAAACCCCATTGAGGCTCATTGATCCAATAGATGCACCCTCTGAGTCCCATCTCGCTTTGTGAGAGTTCAAAGGTTGCTCTGTCCCTTTGTCTCAGGGTGACACTCACCGTTTTTGCCTCCGCCATGCTGCCTGTTGGGTTTATGACACCTTTGACCCGGAGTCCTGCAAGTGGTGTTCCTTACTTATACTACAGTTCACCCAATCCACTGCTATTGATATTCGGGTGCAGGCAACTTCAGTATTGCATGCGAGGTTTAGATTGCTGCAATGTGCTAGGTTGCATGCCTTTCTGGATGCCCCAAGGCTGCCCCACGATAGTTATAGGGACTTTGAGGGGCGTTAGTCGCCTCGACTTTGGTTTCGTCTGCGCCCCCTTGTCCTTTTCCCTGCTGTAGTTCATCCTGCTGCCCCCTCACCCCCTTTTGCTCCTGGCTCCCAAACTTTTTCGGAGTCGGGGCAGGGATTTGTTGGTGGCGAGACTCAGGCGGCTTCAGGGATTGCCCCTTCTGGTTCAGCGGCAGAGGCATTCAAGCCTGTTCCTCCTGCCGGAGCTTTCAGGTCATGCTAGCGGACCCCCTTCTTTCCTGATTTTCCGGTGGACTCTGCCTTTTCTCCAGATGCAGAGGGGTTGGAGGACGGCTCTGCCCCAGGTCCTGACATGGAGGATCCCGGGCCTGGGAAGGAGTTTACTTTGGGGGGCTCGGGCCCCATTTGACCCCTCTTTGGTGTTGGTACCCTTGGCATGGGGCTTGTTATTACAGGGGGAGGGGAGGTTTTGTATCCCCCTACCCCCCCCCCATCCCTGTACAAATTTTATATGAGTTCTGTATGAGTTTGATATGAGTTCCCAGAACCAAACCCTGGGAGGGTTCGGTTCCAGGTTCTCATAGGTTCCTTGGTTCTCTCTTTCTGGAGGTTTTCGACTTCCCACATCCTGCTTAGAGAGGTGCGGGAGGTTATTATGGCTTACCTCCTGTGAGACCCGGATTACTCCTCGATAATGGATCCTTCTTTTTTTGAGTTTGGCTGCACCTATTGGCATTTGGCTTTGGTCTTGCACTTCTTTTCCCTACTGGAGCTGTCTTCGGACTGGCTCGAGGAGGATGTGGAGGAGCTGGGTTCCGGGCCAGCATCCTGTGTGCTTGCCTCGGTGGCTCAGGCGTTGGCTGCCTTGTTGAAGTTGTTTGTGCCGATTCTGAAGGAAGCAGTGTCTGTTCTTTGCTTCTTGCCTCGCATGCTAACAGACAGTGCTCATCCACTCTTTGGAATCTGCTTGGGCCCTGGCTCTTATATTTTCATCCCCTTTTTGTCCATTGCTGTTTGCAGAGTCTGCGGTGGTGCATTTTCTGCAGGCAGCTTCATCTAGTTGCCGCCCTATGTAGCACTTGTTGGTTCTCGAGGGAAGCCGTGGGGGTCCTGCCCAGAAGGGTCATGCCAGGGCTCGAGGTTCCTTCGATCATCGTAAGCCAGTAGTGTTAGATTCGGGGCTGGCCCCGAATCTAACACTACTAACGAATCTCCTGTGGAAATGTTGGCGTCTGGTTGCCTCAGTGCTCGCTCCGAGTGTCTGTCGGGATCTCATAAGGGTCATTAGCCCTTTCATAATTCACCCCGTTGACGAGGTGATGGGGGGGAGACTTGCACTGTTTGCTCTCACCTGATCCCACAATTCGTGGAACCCATTCTGGAGTGGGTACGCTTGGGCGTGGACGAAATGACGGCATCCCACAGGAGGGTTTCCTTCCTTTTTCCAGTTCCGAAACAGGACTGTGTAGATCTGAAGTTCATTGTGGACTTACACCATCTCAACCCCTGTGTTTTGCCCCTCCTTTTGGATGACAACTCTGTCCCAGGTTTGGCTGCTTTTGGAGCCAGGCACTTGGATGGTGTCCCTAGACCTCCGAGACACATATTGGTACATCTTGATTCATCCAAGGTCAAGGGATTGGCTCGGTTTTGTCGTGGGGCTGCAGGCTTGCCACTTTTGTTGCCTGCTTGCTTGGTGTTTTTGATGCTTATTTGGTGTTCGAACCCAAAGGCCTTCTTGCAGCTCTGCCTGTTTCAGCTGACCAGTCCAATCCAGTACGTGGCTGGTTCAATCTTCTCCTCCGCTCTTCGTGTTTGGGTTTTTTTACGCGGGTTTATTGCCACTTGTATGGTGATCAGGTGGCGTTGATAATGTCCCACCTAAGAGTTTTGTCTCGGCGGCAGTAATAAGTTTCCTTGGGGTTCTTAAGGCACATTTTATCTCATCGTATGATGCCTTCGATTTCTGATCAGGTTGTTTTATCCTTTCTCTCTTGGTAGTTTCAGGACCGTCATCTTAGGCCGAATATTGTTGCCTCATATCGTGTGGCACTGGCGGAGCCGCTTCAGCTTGTGTTTGGGGTGGATGTCACTTCTGCTCCGTTCCGCAAGCTTTCTCGGGTGTTGTTTCACCTCCGGCCTGCTCATGTGCCGCCTGAGCCATCCTGGTCGTTGGACCGGGTGCTCTCTTTTCTCTCTTCTCCTTGGTTTATAGTGGCCCCTTTGGTTCAGGAATGTTTTTCTAAGGCTCTTTTTCTTGTTGGTATTGGCCTCTGGAGGTCAGGTCAGGGAGCTTTGTGCTCTTCTCCGGACAGGGGTTTCTACTCTTTCGGTCCTGGTGGTCGTTTTGTTCGTTTGCAGCTGTCTCCTCCTTTTCTGGTGAAGAATGAAAAGCTGCTTTTTGGAGGGGTCCTTGGGGTGTTGATGCTTCGTTGGTTCAGCCAAGGGTGCATCATGTTTTGTGTCCGGTTGCGGCTCTTCGTCGTTACTTGCACACCATGGTCACATGGCAGAGGGCGATAGGGATCCATTTCCTGTTCCAGGGGGTGGATCTCCCAGGTTGTTCACAGGATTATTCAGACCAGCCAGGCTGCAGTCTATCCCCGTGCCCACGACGTTCGTGAGTTCGTGGCTTTGGCTGCTGTTTTTGGTAATATGTCCTGGGCTGACATTTGGGCACGGAGCTTTTGAAGGTCGAACAGGGTTCTGGCCGGACGGTACTTCATAAATTTTGCAGGCGATGAGTCACAATAATGTGGCTAAAGTATGTTGACCAGACCACACACTAGAAGGTGAAGGGACGACGACGTTTCGGTCCGTCCTGGACCATTCTCAAGTCTATTTCTGCAGCTGCCTGCAGAAACTTCGTCGTCCATTCACCTTCTAGTGTGTGGTCTGGTCCTCATAAATTTTCCTGACCCTTCTCGGGCGTGTGTAGCCTTGGGTCGCACGTTGCAGCCAGTTGGCTCGACTTCGAGTTGAGGAGCAAGTGGCTGCCGTCTCCAGGGTTAATCCCTCTTTTCCTTTATCTTTGGTTAAGGAGGAGCAGAAGGGGCTCACCACAGTAAACTAAGCATTGAATGTAATGAAATGCCATTTTCTGGATGAGATCCAGAGGCTCCCCGGCATCCCTCCCTCCCTCCAGTCGGCGTTTTTTCACGTGTTTAATATTCAGCCTCTGAACTGGGGTTGGGTAGGCAGTGTGGGAGGTCTGGGCCCCCCCCCCCCCCAACCCTTCCCTCTCCCAGGGAGGCGGGAGCTGTGCAGACAGTGGCACGGTGGCTGTGGTGACGTCATGTTTGTTTGCTCGTTTTCAGATTGGGGAGTTCCGCTTGCTCGTTCAGCTTTCCAGTTGTAATTTTTTAACTAGCTGTAGTTTGTTTTGGGATTCCTACCTTTCTGGGTGCCTGACCTGGTAGATGGCAGACAGACTGCTTCCAACTGCATGGGGGTGTCTATAGGCCATTGCTCCTTGTGCCTCTCTGAGGGGACCAGGTTCTAGCCCATGGTCCCCGGTAGGCTAGAACTCCAATGACTGACTGTTGCCACGGTCTAATATATATACATCAGCCCAGTATAGCTCCAGGGAGCCTCTGGGTCTCACCCAGAAAATGGCATTTCATTACATTCAGTGCTGTTTTTTTTGCATCATATGCATAAAACCCACACAATAATTTTTAAATCAACATTTTACAATAACCACACAACCCCGTACATCATCACATGACATTAACTGCTCTTTAAGGGTAAACTCATGGGAGTTACTAAGGGAATGCCCAGAAAGGGGCATTTCATTACATTCAATTCTTCATTTATATTATATCATTCCTCCATTCTATCTTCTTAACAGTCTTCCTTCTCAGAAATATGGCCCTGTCACATTTATGTAGCTAATAAATGAACATTTTCTGACTGTTTTTTGGCATTTGACTTTATTTGTAAGCATTTCAACTGACTACAAATAAGTTGCTGCATATGTACAGGGGAAAACATAGAAATTGTTTAAAAAAAATCAAGTAGATGTATACATGTATATATTTCTAGTTATAGAGAACTGGGAAAACATGTGTTACTACCTAACTTACTTGGAACTAATTAAGATACAGTATATCTAGTTTATCAAAGAATCTTATCAAACTGTAGGCTTTAATGCTATATGACACAGCAGTACACAGGCACAATGAGAGGAGCAGCGGCACATTTAGTGCATTTTAATGGCTGTTGAAGCATATAAAATATTGTAATTTTATTACAGTATCCAATTTGAATATGAATACAGAGGCCTAGTGTAATTAATTATAACTTTATGTAAAGATGTGTTTGGTGATGATGAGGAGAGAAGTGCTTCACCCACACCACACTTCACTCATCATGCTGGTGTGTCATATGAGGGTCGTGCATTGTCATCAACTAATTCACTAATACACATGACAAAAGCATGCAAGATTCATTTATGAATGTATATAATATTTGTTTACAGTTACTGTGTGTAACTGTAAACCACTGATTTTACCATTGTTTTATTCATCATAGAGGTTGAGTAATACATAAGGACTAGCTGTTTATCTTTTCCTGTGACTGACAAAATCCTTTTTATAATACTGTATAAGTTACTTATCTGGATAATCTAAGTAATTTCACACTTAAGAATATTTAGGTCAGGAAAACAATTCAAATTTATATTGAAATGTAAACTTTTTTTTATATTTTTTTCAGTATTGTATTAATTGCTGCTTTTAATATACTGTAGCATTTATAAATAATTTTAAGTCTTCACAATATACTCATCAGGATTAACTGCTAATGTGCTTCCCTTTCTTCCCCACCCCTTGCATGCTATGCACAGTAATCAATCGTATGTATCTATCCACACTTGTTCACAGCATAAGCATTATTGCATGTCATTTATATCATTATTAGCATATTAGATTCCTTTGGTTAGAGTTATACTCAACACTAAAGTATTATCATACATGTTTTGGTCCTCATTATATAGACATGTTCCACAAGCTATATAAATCTTAGAAGTGTTGAAAAATAGCCAGACCTACATTTGGCTTAAGCAACTTATGCCCACAACCAAAGTTATAAGAGAGATTAATTGAATACAATGAATAATAAATAATTAAGAGTTAATGTCACACAGCAATGAGGTATGCCAGTAGGTTGTTCCTTTGCTACAAAATACAGTGAGACCTCTATATTCATCAGATTCATCTGTGAAAAAGAAAAATCTTTATTAATTTTGGGGGCTGGGAACGGATTAATTGAATTTCAGTTATTTCTGATGGGAAAGTTGTTAAAATATTCATCAGTTTCCATATACAATGGGCCCTCAGGAATAGATTAACCAATGTACTGTGCAGAGCATCCTCAGGCACTCTCAGAGTTGTGCTAATTTTTTTTTTAATTAGGCTATATTTTCATGTTTTTTAATGTTTTCATCACTCTGTGTTTTGAAACGAAAATGTTTGAGTTTGGAAACATTTTGACATTAACTTTACCTGAACATTTATAAAAACAACAAAAAGATGTCCTTGACAATTGCACTATGAAGTTTTTGCCAAAACCAGGTGTGCAGTGTAGTGGTTAATGATGAAAATAGAGGTTTCACTATAATAAAATAGATTCTCAGACCCCAATGCTGAATCACATTATTCATAAAATTTGTATTTTTCCCATTACAGTAATGATAAGTTTCCCTTTTGCTGCCACTTTGTATTTAACCAAGTAATGTATTCTCTACTCTTAACACAACCATAATTCAAACCAAGAAAAATTAAATCCTTATATGTATTGTATTGTACACCAGATTTTTATGATTCTGCAATATGAATTTCTTACATTTCTTTTTAATGTTTACTTAAAATTTTTAAGGTGACTGAAATTAGAAGATAAAAAGAGTGACAAATTAAATTGTCATGGGTTATAAACCTATGGAACTGCCTATCTGTTGAAGCTGCAAATGCCAAAACTCTTAAGTTTTAAAATCCACCTAGAAAGGATCATCAAGGCAAATGGGGGAACCTTTGACAAGCCACTTTCTTTTGTCCTCATTGAGGCCACTAGTCTTAATGGCCCTCTGATAAATCAGGTAAATCAGGAAATATAAGTTACCATCTGTTGATGTGTGATATGAATTAATTATGAATTAAATGGTAAAAATACTTTTGAGTTTTAAGTGAAATGAAATGCTCATTTTTTGTGTGGTACTACTGTAACTTCCACATGCCTTGGCTCTGGGCCCTTTTAGTACACAGACTTCGTGCCAACTTCCAGTGACTTTAAACCCCAGAAGGACAAATATCTTTTTCAAATTCTCTAGTTACTCTCCAGAAAGGGGCAGCGAGCTTAATGGAGATCACCTCAATCCACCCTAAGGTAACTGCTTGCTATGACACACAGCAACCCTTCCAAACATACTCCCTTCAAACACTCATTGACAACATGTAAATTAACAAATATCATTCTGAAATTTTCAAAGACCCATCATCCAACTACACTGACCATCATAAGATACCATCACTTATGTAAGAATGGGTCAGGGAGACTGAACCTCCAGGGAAAAACTCAGGTAAAGATAAGGCAAAAAGAGCAGGAACCAGGAGCTTCAAAGTTGCCATACAAAAAGGTGCATTTCATTTCACACAACGCTCTTCTGCTGAGTAACATGGATAAAAGGTATACCTGATTTACCTAAGGAATCAGCAGTTCACAGAGATGGAGCCCAGAGAATCAGGAAAGGAAAATATATAGCAGAAAGAAGACCAAGGTGATGAGGACATGAAAGATAAGAGAGATACACTGATCTGCAGAACCTCCAGAAACCCTGGGCCCTAGGATTGCCATAGAACAAGTGGTAGTTATAAATCATGCATTGAATGTAATGAAATGCCCTTTACTGCTGGGGACCTCAGTACCTTCTCGAAGCTAAGCTTTGATTTGTCCATTCTTGGGGAACCTGGGGTTCAAAGATCTATCTTAAAACTGAGAGCATAAGCACCTCGAAACAAGCAATGTCAAAAGCAAGTATCCAATGGCAACTAGGCAAGAAATGTTACCGCGAAGTAAACACATGGAACCTGTTACAAATAGTACCACATAAAGAACATTGTGCTATGTTTTCCAACTTTAGAATCGCTTTTTAAATACATGGATGGTAAAATATTAAAGAAACTATTCATGACTTTTGTAAGACCAAAATTTAAATATGCAGCAGTTATATGGTGCCCATATCTCAAGAAATACATCAATAAACTGGAAAAGGTTCAAAGACATGCTGCAAAATTGCTTCTGAAACTGAAAAACTAACCATGAAGAGAGGCTAGAGATGTTTAATAAGCCAAAGCAAAAATGTATAAGAAAAAGAGGCAATATAATCAATACATACAAAATAGTAACAGGAATTGACAAAATTGATAAAGAGGAAATCTTGAAACCAGCACTTTCAAGAACATGAGGTCATGGATTCAAGCTAAGGAAACAAAGGTGCCAAAAAAATATAATATTAGAAGGGTTTTCTTTTGCAGAGTGATAGACGGTTGGAACAGTGAGGAGGCAGTGGATGACAAAACCATCAGTCATTTCAAAGTATATCTATCATATGTACTCTATAGAGTACTCTATCATATGATAGAGTACTGGGAAGATGGGACACCACAAGCATAGCTCTCATCCTGTAATTACACTTAAGTGTTTACATACCTGCCACTTAGTGCCACCCTCAATTACGAGCCACTCCAGGCAGCCCCTCCATTCCATAAGGAAGATGGGGACAGGGAGATAGTAAGGTCCCATCCAGAAATGGGCATTTCATTATATTCAATGTTAATTTCTAGGAGGTAGGCCCATGGTAGTTAACTGAAGCTATCACACAATGGTACCTCAACAGAGAAGGCCAGTATTTATAAAAATAGAACTAAGAAGCAGCCTGGTACTTATGCTCCAAAACTATATGCTCCAAATAGAACTTACAAGCCTGGACTAACTTGTAAGAGAAGATGACAAAGAGGACCCGAGACAGAGAAGGCCTGAGACACCGACACAGCTGGTGCACCAAGCACCAGCTTCGTGCCAAACACTGAAGCACATCACCAACATAGTGAGGCCATTGGATTCCCAAGGCAAAGCCAAAGTGCCACCCCCAGGTTTACCACCCAGGAGAAGGCCTGAGCCTAAACTGGAGCTCAGCAGCCAGAAACTGCAGAACAAAGGAGCAAGAATGGAAAAGCAACTGGCTGAAAATACCAAGATGGGTGCCAGGAAACCAACAGGCAGGAGTGAACCTGGTGCTGGAAAATAAAAACCAACCTAGAGACCATAGATTCAGAAACCAGAGGAAATCCCAGAAAAGAACAAGAAAGACCCAAGCACATTTCCAAGCACTGCCAGGCACACCACCCGGAACTGCTGAGCACACCATAATGGAGATATCCTGCAAATCTTAGTGAATAAGCACATCAATATACTCAATTCAAAACTCACTGTAAAATGTTGCTACAGTATTTCCAAATTATTTGTAGGAGAAGAAATAAACTTTCAATGTACTGAAGGGTAAAATATTAGAAACAGAAGAAATTATTTTATAACTGAAGAGCATGAAGTGTGTGCATTTCAAGTAGAAAACTGTTTGTAATGACTGTGCATATTTTTACTTACAGGTTATATATATTCAACAGAACATTCTTTTCAGTAGCCATTATACAATTGTAGATATGTAGCTATGCATGGTGTGATACATATTATATATAATATAATTGCCGAATCTTTGCACTTATAATACTACTTAAATTTCAGATTAAGGATATTTTTAGTTCACTGCACAAGAATTTGATAAACTGCATACTGTACTGTATTGTTCATATGTTACATTTATATAGAACCTGTATTGTATTACCCAAAATGTGTTGATTAATGCTCTCAAACTCTAGAGTTATGTACAAGGTGGACTGTACAGTTTAATTTGCTCCTGGAAACTCTGTCGCCATCATTTCTTTGGCTTTGTATTTTTTATAATATTTTGTAGATTGAAATTCTATAGCAAATTTCCACATTTTTGGTTATAAGCTTACAAAAATAGCAGAGCATAAAGTGGATTTACATTAGCTAATGCAATATGTGAGTCAGGGTATTTGTATACGACAACAGCACCAGTCAAATAGATTTGTATTGATAATAACGATTCTCTCAAGTTAGGTTTTTATAGTTGATGCTAGACGTAATAACTATGTTTCATCACAGGCATCACTGCCCTCTAATATATAAGTGCAAGTTCAAAAATGCAAATTGAAAAAAGTTCAAATGCAAGTCTTCATCCAAGCTCAAAATTATAATGCATAATTTTTCGAAGTCTTAATAGGAATATAGTTGTCTAAAATACTACTACTGTATATTCATATAAAAATTCATAAATATTCCACAAATAATATTTATCATATTTAACCACCTTAGTTGTCTAAATTATTAACAGCTTGTTACAAGTGAGGATGTAACATATTTGTCAAGAACAAAATACTTTTTCACAAATAGTAATCTTTAATCTTTTTGATGGCCACAGAATATATTAATGTCTCCCCAGCTTGAACTTCTCGCTTTATAACAATAAAGCAAACAACTCTTCCTCTTTTTAACTTTATTTCACTATTGTATTTGAATTATTCCACCCATAGATTTTTCATCCTATTCTCATCCTGATTGATCCTCTTATTTTTTTCCCTTCCACTCACCACCCCAGCCTTCCCGAGGGGGCTGAAGGAGAGTAAGTAATATTTACCTGGCACCCTCTGCCCTGCACCACTGCACCTTTCTTTCATTCTCTGTAGAAGTAGTTTGTCAAGTCTATGCTGAATGGCTTTTCATGTACATTAATCACAATATAAATTTTTATTACTTCAAAATGACAAAAAGACAGTTGTCAGATATGAAAAACCTTATTCATGTACACACACATTCTTTTCCACATTTTTAAATGGCTGAAAATAATTAAGATGTAACTGTAAAGAAATTATTAGCAGTGCCTACAAAAGTAGTCATCAGCATACTTTGTAGAAAGAAAAGAAAATAATAGATGCATGATAAATAAATAGAATTAGTTATTTAAATTTATACAATTTTATTATAGCCATAGAAAAAACAAAGAATTCAATGACTAATAATGATATGGACTATCACTATTATAAACTTTGATATGCAAACACAGTACAGGTGTACCTAGCTAAAAAAAAATTACTATTACTGAAAGCCATGTATACACTCACAGGGAACACTCATTGATCACATCAAAGTATCTGTCTAGCCTTGCTTCAATGTAAATTAAATGTTCCGACTTCATCATCTTGTACTGAGCATGCTTAATTAACACAGTTTACCAAGCAGCTCATACATGTTTCATTTGTAGGAACCAAATTTGAAAAATCATAGCTACATCTGTACTCAGGAAATCTTGGGAAGGACAGAAATGGATGGGCATTTTCTTTCGCCTAAAGCCTCTGTTCACCTAGAAATAAGTAGGTGCCTCAGGAGTCAGGCAACTGTTGTGGGATTGCATCCCTGGGGATGGTCCATAGTCCAACCTTGGGGGGAACCTCAATACAAGTTTAAAGTACATATGTACTGCATATGTATTATATAAAATTGCAAACCATATTAGCCCTTAAACTGTGCAACACATCAATAGCTGTGGTGAATAACTGTTGTGGAATTGCGCACCACAGCTATTGATGTGTTGGAGTACTGCACAAGATTTATAAGTCCCACAAATACACGGGGGTTCACATCAGCTTCCTAGGGCTCTTGTAAACAGACGCTATTTAAGAAAAAAATATTGGCAACGTTCTCGGGTGTGAGAGCCTCAGTACTGAGTGAGCAACCAAGGTGGGCGCACACAGCATGAACTAATAGCAATTCTGTTCAGCTTGTGACCACAGCACCGCCTAAAAATGTAAAAAAAATATATGTAACTGGTATTATTTAGTCATAATAGTATTACAGAAGACCTGTGATAAAAATGACCATGATTCTGATAATAGCAGGATTGTTGTGATAGTTAGAGCTGTGCATAGTATGGTGGGAGGAGTAATGCTGAGGGAGGAAGGTAGCATTATCTACTGACTCTGTGTAGCCACCTGTCATTGTCTGCACTCACCATACCAGCATAGTGGTTTGCTATGGTGAACACAAATGTAAATACTGTACTTATATATAACATGTGTATATAGTGAAATAACAGCAAGAGGAGTATGTTGGGAGGAGCCAGTTTGGTGATGGAGATGGCATCGTCTGCTGGCTGCTGTGTGTCTTGTCATGCAATTTTGTTGTGGCCACTATGTTGTTTGGACAACACACCAGCTTAGTTGTACAGTTATGGTGAATAAAACATGTAGATACTTATATATAATGTGTGTATATAGTGTAATAACACCACAAACAGTATGGTTGGAGGAGGAATGTTAGTGCGTCTAGCCTTGAACAAGTGAGGGAGGGAGGGAAGTGTCAGCTGACTCTGTGTGGTGACCTCTGTTATTGTCTGAGCTCACCATACCACATTAGTTGTACAGATATGGTGAACAAAACATGTAAATATTATATATAAGTGTTGACCAAACCACACACTAGAGAATGAAGGGACGACAATGTTTTGGTCCATCCTGGACCATTCTCAAGTCGATTCTGGACCATTCACAATCTACTTGAGAATGGTCCAGGATGGACTGAAACATCGTCGTCCCTTCACTTTCTAGTGTGTGGTTTGGTCAACATATTTCAGTCACGTTATTGTGACTCCTCATCTGCACTTATATATAACATCTGTATATAGTGAATAAAAGCAAAAAGAGTATGGTGGGAGGAGGAGTGTTAGTGAGTGAGCTGTTGTTGAAGGAGGAAAGAGGTGGCGTTGGCTGGCCACTCCTCATTTTTTTGACTCACCATACCAACTTAATGGTTTATTATGGTGAACAAAACATGCGGATACTTATATATAACCTGTGCATATAGTGTAATAACAGCAAAACTATTTGTTTATTATTTTATGAACATAATTACATCACTAATATACACACCATAATTTTGAATATAGCAATGATGCATACATTTTATATATATAAATATATCACACTACACACTACTGAATAATATTACTGCAGAAAAATAAGAAAAAATCAATCATAGACATTGAAATAATTAGGTACTGTAATAAGATCTTTGTGGTAACTACCGCCTAACAGCTCGGGCGAAGCTGACTGCCTCTGACGCTTGTTCTATCAATGCCTACATTTTGCCAGACTTCCTTGCCCTATTGCAGCCAAAATATGTCGCCTACGATTTTTTGTTATTTTTCCTGTGGTCAGGGAACACAAATGAACACTTTTATCAAAGGAAATTTGTTTTCTTATTTTTTGCCCCTAGGCATGTTGCAGGCTATAATCACAAGAGCATCCCAGGGGTTAAACATAGATAACATTTCATTCACTTGGACCATTGGAGCCTTGAACACTGGACCACAAAAAAGGAATACTGTAGTTCTACCAACCAGGCTACTAGTCCTGGGTTTGAGTAGATGGTTTAAGTAAAGGAAATGTTGTTATCCACGTAAAATGTGGTTTGCAATTCATATGACTGGAACTTGAATCACCTAATACCTCCATACACAAGTGGCACCCCAAGGGAGGCACAAGTAAAGTCCCAGTTGGATACCAATTGTGTGTCTCTGGGATCCTCCTCTATCATTGGTATTAGTAACCTGTTTAGTGGAACTACAGTCTTTTCTTTTTTGTGGTCCTTAGTTCAAGGCTCTGATGGTTTGTGTGGTATGCCCTAAGGAGGATTTGGCTCCCTCCAAATCAGATTGACACTTTCATTTAGTTATATGCAGAATACATACATTTAAACATTTTGTTACACCATATTTTGAATATAATTATAATAAGAATGATCAAGAAATACAAAAAATACCAATGCTTTGTTACAGATGACTAAAATTATACTAAAATTATTTTTAGCAGTGTGTAGGACCTGTGATACTATCCCATGCATGTACTGTACAATACAGTACTATAATTATTGTACTTGCATGCATTTTGCACCCTAGTAATTAGTTTGTATACAGCACCAAATAGTGTGTTAGTCTGAAGCTCAAAATTATGTAACACTTGCTTTTGGTGCCAATACGAATGACTTCACAATTTTTTTCAGATACTGGAAATATATTTATTTACTTATTTATTTATATATATACAAGACGGTACATTGGGTTTATGAGAGTACATAGAATTAATGTTTTTACATTCTTGCAGAGCCACTAACACGCATAGCATTTCGGTCAGGTCCTTAACCTAATAGATAATTTTAAGTAGGTAATTTGTAGAAAAAGTTCAAGAATGTTAACAGATACACAGTAAGAAAATTTGAAGAAAATTAATAGATACATTACTGTAAAATTTGAGAATTGTCAACAGGTACATTGTAGCATAATTTGAGAATTAATTCCAGATACATCGTAGTAAAATTTACATTCAACACAACAATCATGATATAAGATGATAGCAGTGATTACAATGGTGAATTTGTATGGCTTAGGCACATATATTGGGGGAGTGGATAGCACAAGATACATTGCGAGTTTGAAGCTCTAGATAGGAAACTAAGTGGAAGAAATTAGACATTTTCTGTGGAGAGCCCCTTTGGCTCCCCAGAGCTGTACCGGGCTGATGTGTATTATATCAGACCATGACAACAGTCAATTGATGGAGTTCTAGGCCTACCTGGGACCAGCGCTGGAACTTGGCCCCATCAGAGAGGCACGAGGAGCAATGGCCTATAGATACTCCCATGTAATTGGAAGCAGTCTATGTCTGCCATCTACCAGGTCAGGCACCCAGAAAAATAGGAATTCCAAAAGAAACTACAGCTGGTTAAAAATTGCAAACCAAATGCCAAACTAGCAAGCAGAACTCCCCAATCGAAAACAAGCAAACAAGCATTATGTCACCACAGCCGCCGCGCCACTGTCTGTGTAACTCCCCCCTCCACGGGAGGGGGAAGGGGAAGCCCCAGACCCCCCTCGCACTGGCTAACCAACCTCAGTTCAGAGACTGTTATGTTTGGTGGCGGTCGATCGACTCTGGCCTCTGGCACCATCCTTTTGAGCAGTGCTGTCCATAGCGGTGTTGTTCTATTGTAATTGCTTAAGTGTAATTACCTAAGTGTAGTTACAAGATGAGAGCTATGCTTGTGGTGTTCCGTCTTCCCAGCACTCTTTGTCATATAACGCTTTGAAATTACCGACTGTTTTGGCCTCCACCACCTTTATTTTTTTATTTATTTATTTATATACAAGAAGATATATTGGGTTTATGAGAGTACGTAGCATTGATGTTTTTACATCCTTGTAAAGCTACTAGCATGCATAGCGTTTTGGGCAGGTCCTTAATCTAGTGGATAATTTTAAGAAAGTAAATTCTAGCAAATTTGAAGAAAAATTTACAGGTACATTATAAGAATATTTGACAAAGATTAGTAGGTACATTAAATCAAAAATAAAATTTGAGTTATCAACAGGTATGTTGTAGCATAATTTGAGGATTATTTCAAGGTATAATGCAGTAAAATATGCGTTCAATTTAATAATCATGATATAAGATGATAGGAATGATTACAATGGTAAAGTTGTACGGCTTAGGTACACATATTGGGGGATGGGGTAGCACTAGATACAGTGCGAGTTTCAAGTCCTAGGTAGGAAACTATGATGATGAAATTAAGTACTTTTTGGTTTTATTTTTGAGTAAGGCAAAAGTTGGACAGCTTTCAATTCATTAGGGAGTGAGTTCCATAGACTAAGTCCCTTTATTTGCATAGTGTTTTTACATAGATTAAGTGTTTTGTAAATATAAATGGCATAAGAGAATGTGTGGAATGAGTTTATGTTTAGCATATTTAGAGATTTAAACAGGGAGGGGTTGAGTGTTGTCTGAAAGCAGAGTTTGTTATTGTTCTGAAAGCAGATTTTTGCTGGGTGATGATGGGCTTGAGGTAGTTTGCAGTAGTTTGCATTTTGCAAAGCCAAGCGCCCATGGGCATTTGGCTTCAGTCTTGTGTTCTTTTTCCTCCTGGAGCTGTCTTCAGACTGGCTCGAGGAGGATGTGGAGGAGCTAGGTTCTGGGCTTGCGTCCGATGCGCTTGCCTCGGCAGCTCAGGCATCAACTGCCTCGTTGAAGTTGTTTGCACCGATTCTGAAGGCATTGGTGTGTCTGTTCTTTGCTTCCCACCTTGCGTGCCGGCAGGCAGTGCTTATCCACTCTTTGGAATCTGCTTGGGCCCTGGCTCTTAGATTTTCATCCCCTTTTTACCCATTGCTGTTTGCAGAGTCTGCGTTGGTGCATTTTCTGCAGGCGGCTTTGTCTAGTTGCCGGGTTATGTCAGACTTGCTGGTTCTCTGGGGGGGCCGTGGTGGTCCTGCCTGGAAGGGTCATGCCTGGGCTCGGGGGTTCTTTTGGCCATCGTAAGCCAGTTGTGAGAGATTTGGGGTCAGCCCCTCCTGTGGAGCCGTCGGCGTCTGGTCGGCAGTGATCACTCTGAGCATCAGTCGGGCTCTCGTAAGGGTTGTTCATAAGGGTTGTTCGTAAGGGCTGGAGAGTTCACCTTTTACATTGGCCAGTCCACCGACACAGTATCACGAAGTGCCTACACCCCACTTTCACTCTCCAGCTCCCCACTGGCAGAGAACTTTAGCGATCACTCTGACAGGGATCACCAACAACCATATACGGGAGTAGCTAACCCCCTGGCAGAAGCCTCTAGCAACCTGCTAGCAGCACTTCACGATAGGCACCTCACTGTCGTCCGTTACTCTCCCAAGCCAATCCTGGGTACGTCGATCTCTACCAACACTACGTATTTTAGCAGCTAACACACTACCCAGATCGACAGCGGCTTAAGTCTTCTTCCAGGACCAAGCTGAGAGTACGTGAACTGCCCAAGATAAACTGCTTTCTTCAGCACAATCACCTCCATACATTACTTCTGTGAACATAAAACGTCATCAGTTAGATGGATGGTACATTGGGGAAACCATGAGGTAACAGTCATTCACCTGGGAGTTGACATTATGTCCGAAGCACAATCTAGGTGGCGCTGATCTTGATACGCCATCCACCAGAAGTCATCCACGTCGACCTCTCTTGCTAACTGGGGCAGGAAAAAGGAGCCATTGATCGCTGCCACGCCACCACCAATAGATGGCGTTGTCCACGTAGCGTCTAAATATCAGGGGAACTGAGGTGGCCACCTATAAATGGTGTCGAAATCGACACTCCATACTCCAATGAAGGTGGCGATACCGTAACAGAGTGGCTCCTCCTCCAGGGGGATCGGAGCAGGCAGGGCAGGCCTCTTTCCCCATGCTCTGTCGGGTCATCCTAGAGTTGGTTCGCTTGGGCGTGGTCGAAACGACAGTGTCCTTCAGGTGGGTTTCCCTCCTGTTTCCAATTCCAAAACAGGACTGTGCAGCCCTGCGGTTCATTCTGGACTTGTCCCATCTGAACCCCCCTGGGTCTTTTGCCCCTCCTTTTGGATGGCCACTCTGTCCCAGGTTTGGCTGCTTTGGAGCTGGGCACATGGATGGTGTCCCTGGACATCTGTGATGTGTATTGGCACATCCCAATTCATCCAGGGTTCAAGGACTGGCTCAGTTTTGTCCTGTGGAGACTGACTTATGGCTCTTGTTGCCTTCCATTCGGCTTGAATCTGGCGCCTCACGTGTTTACACGCCTTACCTGGGTTGTGGTGACCTGTTTGCATCTGTTAGGGGTTCGGGTTGTGGCTTACCTCGACGACTGGCTGGTCTGGGCTCCCAGCCAATCCGCGTGTCTGCTCGCCAGGGATTTAGTTCTTTCCCAGCTCTCTTCTTCTTCGCAATACGTGCAGTTAGCATGAAGGTATATTCTCCCCAATGACTGCACAAGTGGTAATGTAGAAAGATGCATATATGACAATGCACAACAATACATCAACATCTAGCTTTGTTAGGCCAAAGCTAGAATATGCAGTGGTTGTGTGGTGCCCATATCTTAAGAAGCACATCAACAAACTGGAAAAGGTGCAAAGACATGCTACCAAGTGGCTCCCAGAACTGAAGGGCAAGAGCTGCGAGGAGAGGTTAGAGGCGTTAAATATGCCAAAACTAGAAGACAGATGAAAAAGAGGTGATATGATCACTACATACAAAATAGTAACAGGAATTGATAAAATCGATAGGGAAGATTTCCTGAGACCTGGAACTTTAAGAACAAGAGGTCATAGATTTAAACTAGCTAAACACAGATGCTGAAGAAATATAAGAAAATTCCCTTTCGCAAACAGAGTGGTAGACGGTTGGAACAAGTTAGGTGAGAAGGTGGTGGAGGCCAAGACCGTCAGTAGTTTCAAAGCGTTATATGACAAAGAGTGCTGGGAAGACGGGACACCACGAGCATAGCTCTCATCCTGTAACTACATTTAGGTAATTACATTTAGGTAATTACTTATAGTTGAGAGGCAGGAGCAAAGAGCCAGAGCTCAACCCCCGCAAGTACAATTAGGCGAGTACATCAACGGTCACGACATACCCGAGTCAAGAAGATAACAACCTCGTCAGGGCGGGTGAGAATAAAGGCAAAATAAATAAGTGGAAAGGAACATAGGATGGGAATTATGAAAACAGAAGGCGAACACAAAGCGCCGCCGCAGTACAGAAAGCAAGGGACGGAGGCAAGAGATGAAGGGTGGGGGCAAAGGATGTTTAGGAGGCAAGTGCAAATGTGTAGAAGGGTAGAGGAAGTCAAGACAGGACAAGCGAGGTTAGGACAGGGCAAGGTACGTAGAAGGCATCCGGAGCATTACGACTGGGACACTAACGCATCGGACTCCGCAGAAGCGCCAGCAGGACAACAGGAAGAAGACCTAGGAAGGGCGCGAGGACAAGTCAAGGGAGAATGCAATGTAAGAGGCTCATCAGGCAAGGTGGCAGGGCGCTTGGAAATCGGGACGACGGAGGATTGCTTCCGCTTAGAACCGGGGGCAGAGATGTGCATCAAGGCAGCCCTGGGGAGACACAGGGAAGGCTCGCCAAAAACTTCCGAAGGGCACCGATTCAAACGCATTGGAGATAGCAGAGGCAGCTGCGGGAGGATGGACATCAACCGTAGAAAAAGCAGCGGAGAGGAGCGACGGGTTCTTTGTTCGTAGACATATTGAGCTATGTCTACGAGTGCCCTGAGGTGCCTTGCACACCACCAATCGAGCGCCTCAAGGCGCATTGCGCAGTGCAGTGGTTAAGGGTTAATTATACCCTTTAGTTTTCCATCTTGAGGGAAATGAATACCTGTACCTCATTGATATAATTTTGATATGGTATTGTTAAAGTTGTTAAAGCATTTGCCATTTAGCCTCTTATTATGATTTAACAAGTGTCTGATATGTTGTAGTTTTTGTCTAACCATTACTATTGCCTTATATTGTCTTATGTTTCAGGCATTCAACTTCTATTTGGGCTTTGTTTTAAAGTTTTTTCATTAGTGAGAATTCACATTTGATGATCTTGCATAATCTTTTTAACCATTGGATATCTTACATGTCATTATGTTTGCATGATGGGTGATATTTGCGTAAACTGGGAGGGTTGGCTTTGCAGGGAAGAATTTGAACATTCCAATGATGACATAGCATTTTGTTGAGGGAAGACTTTTTCCTATTCATTATTTTGCTTACTGTGTTATCTGCCTGGTGTATAGATTCTTTTGCTTCCTGCAAACTTAATTTTATTGTTTCCCCATAGTTTCATTATAGATGGGCATATTTCTTGTTGGTGGATAAACCTTGCATCCAACAGCAATGCATTTTCCTTAGAATTCAAGATGAATTTAATGTTTAAAAGTGATTTTGGCTGGTTTAGATGGTGTTCTTAAAATTATAATACTGTACTGTCATCACCTGTGTGGTGTTCCATCTTCTCTATAATCTTTGTCTGATGATGCTTTGAAACTACCGATAATTTTGGCATCCACCACCTTTTTATTTCAATTGTGTTTGTACTTAGTTGCTACTGTATTAAATTTTAAGCCATACCTTAGCACACCATAGCCAATTATCTGCAATTTGAGAATAATAATTATACTGCATACACCTAGGAAAATACATATAGAAATTGTGAAGTAATGAAATCCTTTATTGCTGGTGTCTCCTGAATGATGTAGCCTGCAGAAGTCAAACCATTCTTGTATTACAATACTGTACCTCCATTACTGATTATTGCTTGCATGATTTAACAGTGTATTTCTATGTTTTTCTTAATGACTTTAAATTTTTTTATGTTATTTAAATAGTAATATTTTCCTGCTTTCTTCAGTGTTCTACTTTAAATGCTAACCTTTATCTACATTTTTCTAGGGACTATCCAGAGACAGGTATTGAGGATGATATGATGGAAAAGAAGCCAAAGGTTACAGCTCAACTTAGCCAAACCCTGGGTGATGATCCTGCTAATTATGTTGCAAAAGTACGTTCCCTGTATTAGATAAATTTATTTGGATTCTCATTATCCTTATTTCATCTCATATCATACATGACTTTCAAAACAGTGTAGAAGTAGTAATATTTTAAGTTACGATATAAGTTTACCAATATTTCATTCCTTTTTAAGAGCCTGGTGCTTGTGTTCCAAAACTTCCTCAAACACACTCAATTTTTTTGTGAGTAATATCTTCATGGTAAATGCTCCAATGTTTCCTAATGGATCAACATCATACCATGAACAGGAAAAAAAATGAAAAAAAAAACAAAAAAAAATTTAAATTAGCTTCAAAAATATTAAAATGTAACCAAATGTTATTTTATTCATTATGGTCTCAGAATGGCATAAAACATTTATATTCCTTGCTGAAAAACATTGTTTGAGAGTATAGTTTTTTTTACAGTAAAGTTAATATGGCCATCAAAATATGTGCAAAAAACGCAAACAAATTAACTCAAAACGTTATGGCTTTATGACTGAACGACCGTGACGACACCTTAAAATTAAAACGTTGCACATAATATATAAAAATGGTGAGAACCGGTCAGAAACTGAATTTTTGATGCTGTCTCAAAGTTGAAAATAATGTTCATGCAGAAAAATGCAGTTAAAGTTCTCGACAAAGAATATAGTACAGTACTTAGAATTTATAACATATCTTGTAAGTTTTAATTAAGATTGCTTGGTATTTGTACTCGAATATGTGAAAGTTGTAGGTCAATATGTGTTGAAATAAAGTCAAGAAAAAATACCCCCCCCCAAAAAAAAAATATGTAGGGATAGGGATAAACATATATATGGCAGTAACTTTATTGCCCATATAAGTGATAAGGCCCTCAGCTGGTCCTCATTCATCAATTCAACCTAAAGAGAATAGAGTTTGAAATCTGTAAATAAATGCCCCCCTCCCCCCCCCAAAAAAAGTTGCAACTTCTGCTACCTGTAGCTGATTAACATGGTGACCAATTTTGTTCCAATTTCACATGCTTACTGCTGGATATGCATTCTTCAGGATGTACAAGTCACATCAAAATCTGCATAGAAACAAAGAAAAAAAATGGGTTGTCAGATTTTTGTACAAAGGGACATAAGAAATATTGCCATTGGGCAATGTATTTATATGATATATAATAAAATACAGCATAATAACATACTAACGCATTATTATGTGTGAAATCTAGCCCTTCAGGTGGCACCAGCTGCATATCCACTTTGTGGACCCTCCTTACCACTACTTTTCTGCTTTGTGCATTGGAAAGTTGCTTGCTTCTCTTTATCCCTGATTTCCAGTAAATAGGTATTATTATTATCATCAGTATCGGTTGCCACCCATCGTGCATGCATTTATTTATTTTAAATTCTTAAAAAATCCATTTCTTAACATATTGGGATGAAATTTTCCCGACACTGATGTCGAAATTTGTAATACTGTAATAATGAAAATGGGAGATTTGTTTAATATTTTTCACCATATTTCATATTTGGAAAAATACTCCTCAGTCACCCTTCAGTTGAAGGAAGTCGGTCGGCCGAGCGGACAGCACACTGGACTTGTGATCCTGTGGTCCCGGGTTCGATCCCGGGCGCCATCGAGAAACAATGGGCAGAGTTTCTTTCACCCTATGCCTCGTATGGGCAAATAGGCCTTCTGCAGTTACCTTTATTCTTATGTTCTTATGTTCCTGTCCCTGACAACAGAAAATGGGAATGTTTCATGACTAATTCCATTTACACCTTTCTCTCTCTGTCTTGATAAATATGCTGTGCCCATAATTATTCTCTTTCTGTTTCAGGTCTCAAATGTTGCTGGAAATGTTGCTGGGAAAGTGGGTAATGTTTTTGGTGGCCTCAGTAAAGGTATTGGAGGGATCACTGGGAAATTTGGAGGTGGAGGCTTTTTTTAACTATGCCAAAAACTTATAAATGGGATTGTTTGAAATTAATACAAAATGACTCAATGATTCACCACAGACTAAACTAAACTGAAAGTTTTCTTAACTGATTCCTTCTTTCTCCAAAGGCTTTTCTTAGGATATTGTTTATATGAAGTAACTAGGAAAGTAGGAAAAGTAAAATAAAATAACATAAATATGGCACTTTCAATGCACAAAGGAATTTTACGTTTGTTGTATAAGAAACTATAGAAAATTTTTCTAAATAGCAGTTATATAAGTAAGTTGAACGGGTGGATATTAAGGTATACTGTACAATGAAGGTGAAGGCATGAATTTTCACACAGTACAATAATAAAATGAAAGCAAAATGAACCAATTGTAATAGAAGTACATGCCAGCTATTATTCAGTAATGTATGTATAAATATTTAGATGGTACAGGTTTAAACATTTTGCTAATTGGAATATTAATTACAAATGATTTATATATTTAAAAGTAAATGAGAATTCAAATAATATCAATCGTATACTACCTTTTAAATTACAAACTACTGAATTATCAGACAATTTTCTTTTCAGCAATATTTTCTTTTCCTAACAGTATACTGTGTAAGCATTTTAAATTCCAAAATAAATGACAATCTACATGAAATGAAATGTTAACGCCAGGGGCTACAGCATGTTAACTGTGAGTAGGTGCGTGTAAAACTTTATGTAACAATTGTAAATTCTCAAGAAACCAGCTCAAGCTTTTGCTTCAAATATTAACTAAATTATTACTATTCTACAGTCTCAATACATTATTGTTCATATTAACATTTCCACATACTATAATCACATCTTAGTGCACAAATATGATTTAAAAGTTTGAGAGAACTGAGTTTGGAAAATATACATAGACATTAAGTTTATATTAGAGGTATACTTAAATAATATATGTTTTTACAATAATAAAATGTTAGTTGTCAGTTACGAATGAACTTGTGCTGGTCTTCATGAATAACTGAAAAATTACTACAGCTATAATGCTTGCATTCAATACCTACATTATATTTTCTTGGAGAGCCACCTGATGGCTGCTTGTAGCTATCTTGCTGAAATTGTTCCAATCAACCAGTCATATCAGTTGCATGAGTTCATTTGGTCTACCAGGGACCAAAGCCAAAATGAGGCTCCTTCTCATGAGGCACAGGGAGTATATGACATTCTGCCATTTTACCGGGAAAGCATCCAGAATGTCAGCAAAGTCTTACACACAACAGATGGGTTCCCAAGACTCACAAATCACAAAAATGCCAACTAATTCTCAGAACAAAATAAACTCACAAAGTTAACTAAAACCTGAAAGTACCGAATGCCGCTACCAGGTGACCTGGCACTCAATTCAGTGTCAGTCCATGCATCAATTCATTTGCCAAAGCTTATGCTTTGGCAAATGGTCCTAGAGCAACGCTGTAGAGCGCCATTATCGCATCATCTTGCAACAAGTCCCAGAGCTTCTAAGGTTAAGTACCGGCTATCCTAGGACTCATCTTGTGGGGACCTCTTTTGCTGGTGTGTTGTTCCACTATAGTCTTTGCTTCGCATACATGTTTTCAGCATGTTTTTTGTGTGGAATTGGCTTTTTTATGCTCCAGATTGCATGTGCCCAGCAGTTACTTCCCTAGGTGTTTGTTAGAGCATTGCACTTGCACTGACAAAGTTTATTCTATGGTGTGTTTGTGGGTTCACCCTATCGAGGCCAGGCTACCAGGGTAGAGTGCCATACCTTGGGTATTTCAGGGGTCTTCTGACCTGTCTGTTTAGGCCCTTGGTTGAGTTGTTTAGTAGGTTGTAATTACCTAAGTGTAGTTACAGGATGAGAGCTACGCTCGTGGTGTCCAGTCTCCCCAGCACTCTTTGTCATATAACGCTTTGAAATTACTGACGGTTTTGGCCTCCACCACCTTCTCACCTAACTTGTTCCAACCATCTACCACTCTGTTTACAAAAGTGAATTTTCTTATATTTCTCCAGCAGCTTTGTTTTGTTAGTTTAAATCTATGACCTCTTGTTCTTGAAGTTCCGGGTCTCAGGCATTCTTCCCTATCAATTTTATCGATTCCTGTTACTATTTTAAACGTAGTGATCATATCGCCTCTTTTTCTTCTATCTTCTAGTTTTTGCATATTTAATGCCTTTAACCTCTCCTCGTAGCTCTTGTCCTTCAGTTCTGGGAGCCACTTAGTGGCATGTCGTTGCACCTTTTCCAGTTTGTTGATGTGCTTCTTAAGATATGGGCACCATACAACCGCTGCATATTAAAATTTTGGTCACACAAAAGTCATGAATGGTTTCTTCGGTATAGGCTTTGACGCCTGTGGTGCCACAGCAGCGGCTTTGCAAAAGATGCTTGCACCCATCCTTTGGGAGGCGGTGGCAGTGTCTTGCACAACTCCATGTGTCAGCAGGCCCTCCTTGCCTATTGTTTAGATTCAACTTGATCCTTAGCCATTTTGTCTGCCTCCCTTTTTTCACCTCTCCACTGTTGTTCAGATCCTTTCAACGGAGGCTACTTGGGAACCCAGCTCATCTGTAAAGCTTCGCCGACTTTCTGGATACTTTCCTAGAGAAATGGCAGAATGTTATTTGCTCCCTGCACCTCATCTGAATGGGGTTATATCTTGGCTCTGGTCCCTAGTAGGCAAAATATACTCATGCAACTGAAGTGACGAAGTGACTGGTAGACTGGTGCAATCTCAGCGAGAAAGCTACAGGGAGACACTGGGGCTCTTACTAGAAAGATGCCTTTCATCACATTCAACACAGGGTTTTGTTATTTGACATTATTTATTTATAAATAAAAACAAAACACTTGAAAGCATCAAATGATAAGTAAATTGTTGATTCATGCATGATGTTTTGTATGCATATCAATATATAATATATATATATATATATATATATATATATATATATATATATATATATATATATATATATATATATATATATATATATATATATATATATATATATATATATATATATATAATATAATATATATATATATATATATATAAATAATATATATAAAATATTTATTACACAGTATATAAAGTAGGATTCTATAGGGATGTTTACTTTTCATGTGCTAAAACAAAAACCAGAATCGGCTGTGAAATAAATTACAATCCTTATTCTAATTGTGAATTTTACCCAGTAACTTGTAGCAATAAAAATTATTCAAGATGCTCCTCACCGTGTACTGACGACTGTGCAGCTCTAAGAGCATGAAAGGTTTAAATACCATAACTAATATTGATTCAACTATCTTTCTTATTTTAATTAGTACTATTTACATCTAAGGTGGAATTGTGCTTCTAAGTTCTCATGTTGTATGTTGATCATAATCTTGTATTATGTTATATAAGATATATGAAATTCTTATCATGGTGTGTGAAATCATGCTTATAAAAATACCTGAAGTGTCATGTCATACTATAAAGGCCGAAGCCTGCATTGTCCACCCACCTACTATTAAATATATGCCTTATTAATTTTTGTAACAATTTTCATATGGAAAATTATTGTTCTAGTATAAAGTGTAGTTCTCTTTTTTAACTTTATTGATTTGTACATAAACATTTTGTTTATTGTAAAATATGCTTTTTTAGATTAAATGATTAACTTAAGTGTTTATAATAACAACATTCAGTATAAGCCTGTTAAACAAAGAAAAGTTATGCAAACCAAGTAATTAAGTGATACTAATATATTACATTCTTCCAGCAAGTGAGACTAGCATATACAGTAGCTTAATTGGCAGTCCTCTCAGTGTAACGTAATTAATAGAAATACACACAATTGAGTAAGAGGATATTTTTATCACTCACTATGTATAAAACAAAGACTTTCCTTGGCTGCTGTTCCTAAACAAATGAATGACTCCTTAGATGCTTTTAAAATGCATACATAAAAAAATGATAAAACATTTAAATTTAGGGGTGCCATTTTATTATTTAAAGTTTTGAGCTTAAATTTTACAAGAATTCACCTTTAAGTTATATTTTAATATCCAGTAAGGTAGACAATTTCTGGTAGACCTTAGTAAGATATATTAATTACTAATAATAACAATAATAATAATAATAATTTATGCATAAGAAGGTACAATGGGTTGATGAGATTACATAATATTGGTATTTTTACAATCTTGCAAAGCTACTATCAAGCACAATGTTTCAGGCAGGTCCTTAATCTAACATATCAGGTAAGATGAAGAGGTACATTGTAGCAAAATATTGTATCACATATAACTACCTGTACAATATAATTTGACAGAGGATTACACTGATTAGAATATATGTCTTAAGTACCAATATTAGGGAAGTGGGTAGTACAAGATAGTGCGAGTTTGAAGCACAAGGTAGAAAACTATGAGGATGAAATTAAGTACTTTTTGGTTTTACTTTTGAACAGGGCATTGGACAGTTTTTTTTAATTCATTAGGGACTGAGTTCCATAGACTGGGTCCTTTTATTTGCTTAGAGTGCATGCACAGATTTAGTTTGACTCTGGGGATATCAAAGAGCGATTTATTTCTGGTGTGGTGCTCATGGGTTCTATTACACCTATCAAGAGAAAGTTTCAGAAGAAGATTAGCATTTAGGAACAAGGTTTTGTACATGTAGATAGCACATGAGAATGTGTGGAGTGAGTGTATGTTTAGCATGTTAAGGGACTTCAAAAGAGGGGCTGTGTGATATCTGAAGACAGAGTTTGTTATTGTTCTGAAAGCAGATTTTTGCTGAGTGATAATGAGCTTGAGGTAATTTGCAGTGGATGAACCCCATGTACAAATACTGTATGTAAGATAGGGATAGATTAGTACGTAGTATAATGAGAGGAGAGCAGCATGGGGAACATATCTGATTTTAGAGAGTATACCAACCATTTTTTAAATTATTTGGTTATGTGAAGAGTGGGTGCTAAAGTTCAGTCTGTTGTCTATGTATAGGCCAAGGAACTTTCCCTCATTTTCATTGCTAGTATTAACACTGTCTATCTAAAGTTGAATTTGATTTGATTTACTTCCGAATAAAATGTAGTAGGTCTTTTCTATGTTTAGTGCAAGTTCATTAGTTAACAACCATGATTGGATTTTTTTAATTCCTTATTTACAGTATTATTTAGTGTTGTGTGGGTCAGGGTCTGAATAAATGAAGGTAGTATTGTCAGCAAATAGTATAGTTTTAAGAACATTGGAAACATTTGGCAAATCATTGATGTATACAAGAAATAGGAGAGGTCCCAAGATATTGCCCTGTGGCACTTCTACTATTAATGGTAGAGTGGGGGAGGTTGTATTACTGATCTACATATTGGTGTCTGTCACTGAGATAGGATCAAACATATCCTTGGTTATAGTGCTACTCTTGCAGGGGTTTTGAAAAAGAAGGGTAAACTTTGAGATTAATTAAGATATGTTTGACTTAATTTTGAGTACATTGTAGCAACCACCAACATACACTTAATATTACATTACAACATCAGTGAAATGGTCTATGGGGTCGTTTTCCAAGCCTATATTTTATTGTAAGAGTCGAGTGAAATTGTCATCATTTCTGGATTTCTTTTTAACATTATAAAATTTACATGATTTTTCTTAGTGATATTTATACATTACTTCAATACTGTATGCTTAACTTTTGTATCTCTTAAATAATGTTAACATGCTCATTGCCATGTCCAGGTTTGGCAAGGCCCTTTCAAGTTATATTATACTGGAATTTTCCAAATGAAATGTCTTCCTCACTGGAAGTTAAAATCAAGTAAATTAGAGAACACTTAATTAAATTTTCAAGGTAAGTCTACTTAATAATATAGTAATCCTACACTTACATATTACGATAAAGATATTGCAGTTAAATTGAAATTCAGATGCCACTTTGTTTTGGCATATATAAGCTGAAATTTCCCATTGGATAAGTAAATAAAAATTTAATTATTTTATTTGAATATCCAGATGGGAAAATGTACTTTCTACACACTTCCATTGTAGCATTTATCCCAATGGTTCTTATTAACATTTGTATCCTTTTACACTGCAGAGAAAATTATTTAGGTTAAAGTGATAAATATATTAATTAAAATTAATGAATTAATGCAACATTAATTCTATGTTGCAAGAAAATGATAGGTTTATTTGATTAAAATTTCCAGTTCAATAATATTGTAGCAAGGTTACACAGAAACCTCTTGCAACATGTTAAACTGTTGTGCACTGGGTAGTAATGAGTCAACCATTGCTAGCAACTCTAGTTATCATGAGTTATCATCGAACAAATAATCAGTAATTTTTACTAACATTTGTAAAATATTTGTAAGTTTTAGAAATGTTTTCTTTGAAAATTTGGTGACTTGCATTAGTAAAATCAAAACTTTTATTAGACTTACTAAACATGTTGAGCTAAATTCTAATCAATAAATCCTAATCTAACTAAATCTGGGAAACAAAAATCTTTCCAACCAGATATTCATCATAGCATATATATATATATATATATAATTACAAACAAAAAAATTGCATTAAGTCTCAACAAGAAAATTCAATAATTTGGTGCCCCTTAACTTAAATTTTATCAAATTTTTAATAATCCAATAAAATATTATGTTACACACATATTTCTGTATAAAAAGTTATTATATTCAAACATTTTTATCCAGTAGTAACTGGCAGGTGTTTGTATAACTCCAAGTTAACCCATTATAACTTCTCCCCTCAGAGTTTGAGTAGCCTAACCCTCAATTTCTATTCTGTGCAATAATGACCTTAAATTTTTGCTCTAAGTATGACTATGACTACTAGCTAGATGATGCATGAAATTGCCAGATGTTCTTAATTATATCAAACTTCTGTCTTATTACATTACAGTATTTACAG